CGCTCCCGCCCCACCTGCGTCCTCTCCGGGTGGTGGCGAGGGCACCGCGCCCCCGCGCCTCAATTCCCCCAGTCCGCTCTGGTACAGGTGAACCTCCCGAGCCTGGCGCCCGGGGGTTGGGGACGAGGGGCGGAGACCCGCGAGGGAGGTGGCGCAGGTGCCGTCTACACCGGCGGAGGCTGAGCGGAGCTGCCCGCAGGTGAGGCGGCCCGGACGGAAGAGGAGCTTGGGCCGCCTGTCTAAAATCCTGGCCTGGGTCGCGCACTGTGGCCCCGCGGCCCCCGGCTCATTACCAGCTTCCGATCGGTTCGACGGCCGTCCCCGGTCTGAGCGTGCGGTCCTGGGCACACTTTCGGGACTGAGCGTCGAGTGGACTCCCCTGACTCTGCCTCCTGCCGCCGCGCGCACCAGCTGAATAGCAGAAGCGCCTGGGACCCCCACCGGCCCCGCCCCGCCCTGGTCCCGCGTAGCCCCGCCCCGTCCTGCTCGGCCCCGCCCTTCTATCGCGCTGGAGGGCCCCACCCTCGTCCCGGCACGTGATGACGTAGAACGTAACGACACCGTGTGGTAGCCATCTTCTTGAGGTCCGAAGGAGGGTTATTTTGTGGACTTGTTTTCGGCCCGGAAAAAGGTGTGACGATAAATGACGCGTCGGCGAACGCTTTGTAGCCACCCCGTGTCAAGCTGTGCCAAACAGCTTAACTTCAACCTGTGCCAAACAGCTTAACTTCAACCTGAGACAGTGAGTCACCTAACCTTTGGTTGAGAATTGCAGTGAGCTGGCAGGTAACCAGTGGGACTCTAAGTTTCCCTAGGGGCGAAGGCTTCAGAAGGCCACATTTGAGTTGAGGCTTGAAGGCTTATCATTTCTTAACCTTTTTTTTTTCTTTCTTTTTTTTTTTTTTTTTTTGTCTCTACGCTAGGCAATACAGTATTCTTTCCCCAGTCAGATTTCAGTAAGATGAGAAGGAAGAAAGCAAAGAAGAAAAAGAGCATTTAAGGTGTGATGTATTTGAGGATATTGTCTGGTATGATTGGTGGGAGGGGCTCAACTTGGAGAGAAAAATGAAGGAAAAGCTTGGGAACTCTGGGAGCAAATCATGGACTCTTCATAAAGAGCCTAGAATTTATGCTGTGAACCTTGGAAGCATTTTAAAGATAATTAGCAGAAAGCGACATTCTGGTCATTAGAAAAGTCACTCTGGAGGACCAGCAGATGGTGTAATGGCTACGTCACTGGACTCCTATGTTGTTGACTGGAGTTCCAGTCTGGACCTGGCAGCTTAAAATCCACGCCAGGCATGTGTGCATGCATGCCCAAAATCTGGAGAGGAGGATGGAGGAGGAGAATGAAGGAGAACGGCCATTTCCCTGAGGGGTGATTTCTCGATTTCTCTCTCTCTAGCGAGAACCCATGCCCTGTAAAACTCTCTAAAAGAAAAGAAAGAAAAATCTCTCTGGGAGGAAAGTGTAAACTGGATTATAGGAGAGCAAGACTATTTGCAGGGACAGTAGTTAGAAAATTGGTCAAATAATCCAGGTGAAAGTTCAAAGAGGCAGCAGTTGAGTTGAGAGGAAAGAGAAAATACAGAAAAGGTGAGAGAAAGCAACCAAAAATGGCTCCAAGATTTCTAACTTTCTGTACTATTAATCAGATAGTGAATAAAGAGTGATATGTTTGTACAGGGACAGAGGGCACTCAGAACAAGATGAAAGTGCCTGCATAGCACCTCACACCATAACCATTCCTACATTTAAAAATGCCTTCAAGCCATTTTCACCTGATGAGTTTGTTCCTTAAAGTTTAGTGCATCAAACTAAAAATAAATTTAACTCTTTTTTTTTTTATCTGAATCCTTCCTGTCATTGGCTACACCATTCTCCAGACCTTTCTTCAGATATACCAATGGGTATGTTAAGAATGCAATAATAGCATTACTTACAATCATGAAGACATGGAATCAACCTGAGCACCTAAGAACTAATGACTGGGTTGAAGAATTGTGGCACATATACATTATGGGATACTATTCAGATTAAGGAACAAGGAAACACTGTCATTTGACTCAAAGAGGTTGAATATGGAAGGCTTAATGCTAAGTAAAGTAAACCAGACTATAAGAGACAGACACTCTGTATCTCTACTCAATATATATTGCATGTCTTCACTCTATAGCAGGAATAAAAGATCCAAAGATATGATAGCAGGGAAGATAAGTGTAGGTACTAGAGTCTGCAAGGGAGGGGAGTGTATGGTAAAGGACTGGTAGGAGAGGCAAAGGAAAGAAACGCTTAACAGACCCAAATGTAAAATTCTCTATTGAAATCAATGTATACGGAATTACCCTTAATTTGATTGTCAAAACAATAAAGAAAAAAAATAAGATGGGGAAGATGCAATAATAGTGTTCTGGGCTAGTGGAGGTAGAAACGATGAATTTAGCTTCATATGCCATATGGTTGTGGTACCTTTGAGACATCTAAGAGAAGATAATAAGTAGCCCTAAGGATATGTAGGTTTCTTAAGAGAGCATAAAGGTGTAATGCAGGGTGCAAATAGATACTAAAAAAAGACTGGGACTGAGCCCTAAAGAACTGAACAATTCCAGTTTAGAACTCCATATCTAATGGCTAGAGAAAAAATGCTGGTCCTGCAGACACATTGGAAAGAGTTCCTAGGATGGTAATGGGAAAATAAGGGGGACTGTCCTGTCATGGAGAATAATATACAGAGATTCAAATAAGATGAGAACCAAATATGTGATTTCTGGCTTTTTAACTTAGAGTCATTGATGACTTCAGTGAATGTTATGTTGGGGGTAATGGTACTGCAAGTCATTTTGAGTACAGTATTGAGTTGAAGATGAAGAAATGGCATCACAAGCAGACAATACTTTTTAAAATGTTGGCTGAGAATGGGGGAGCCATCAAATGGTAGGTGGGGGAGTGAAGAGATAAAGGAGGGCTTTTTGGTTTGGGTTTACTTTTATTTTAAAGGGGTGATACTTTAATAGGTGGTGGATAGGAAGAGAGAGAAAGAGGTATGTATACATAAAAGCATAGAGGAAGAAAGATTCGCTGTGTAAGAAAGATACCCAACGAATGATAGATGTTAAAGATCGTTTGTTGTTGTTAAGGTTTTTGCCATAGTGTGCATGTGCTTACTGAAGAGACAGAGAGAGACAGTGAGAGGGAAAGTGAGAAATCACCCCATGGGGGGATGGTCACTCTGCAATTCCTTCTCCATTGTCCTCCTGGGGTTTTTGGGCATGCATGCCTATGTGTCTGGTATGAGTTTCAAGCCACCAGATTCAGGACTCAAACCACAATTTGTCTTGTGGGAGTCCAGCGCCTTAACCACTCTGCCACCTGCTGGCCCTAAAATCAAAAATAGTAAAAGCTGGAGAGAAAGAGTGACAAAGCATAACTGGAAGATTAGAGATATAGTAGATACATAAAAACAGAAATAGCTCTTATAGTGATCTTTGTTACTCCAAGTGGACCACAGCTTCTCATAGAATTTGTAAAATAGGAATAATCTCTGCATGTTCATACTGAGTCAGAATCCAGATTTAACAAAATCACCCAAGTAATTGAATGTACGTGAAGTTTGAGGAGCACTATGCTACAGTAGCTAGAGGAAAGGAGGATGATGGGGAAGGTGCAGTAAGCTAGTAAAAAAAAAATTTTAAGAGCCATTTTTGCTTTAGGGTATATGCGCTAGCCAGAGAGACAGAGAGAGACAGAAAGCAAGAAATCACACACACACCCCGCCAGGTACGATGGCCATGCAGCAATCCCTTCTTCATTCTCCTCTCAGGACTTTGGGCACATATGCACACGTCCAGGGCATGAGTTTTTAGCCAGTTAGGTCTGGGACTCAAACTGTGGTCAGCTACGTGGGAGTCCAGTGACATCACCATTACACCATCTGTTGGTCTCAGCTAGTGAATTTTGGAACAGAAAGAGGGAGGTGTGAGGGAGAAGGTATTCTAGCATGAGCTACAGAGGAACAGGTGTATTTTGTGATTGATGGCCTCTGTTTTAATTGTAGAAAAGCATACAGTCAAAGATCTGGGAAGTGGCAACAGGGAAGTAGGTGAACACCAACCCTATATTCAGGGTGTGTGATAAAAGATAATCATTAGGCACTGTTTGGGAGAGTTTGTGGGAAAGTGATAGCCTCAGGGAGTTCCCACTCTGTTTAAAGCAGAAGGTGAGCAAATTCCCAAAGAAGACAGTATGCTAAGGTAGGATTTACTGTGTATGGACTAGCAGTTCCAGGGACAGAGTCAAACATTTCTATCTAGCCTTCTTTCATCAACTCTGTATTCTGACCTCATAGCCATTCTGTCTAAAATGTGTAAAATAATAATTTCTTAACATAGAAACTTTACAGTGTTTAAATGCATGTGAAATGTAATTTGTTAAGTCTGTGCTTTTTAAGGTTGTTAGCTATTTGGTACAGTCGTTCTCCATTTTGTCCTACTTTCAAATCTTTATATTTTAGAGTTGTTTTCATTATCTAGAAATTATATCATGCTTTATTATTTTACATTGTCTAAGTAATAGACCTTTATATAGACAAGATTAAAATAGAATAGCAGTAGGATTTCCAGAATCCTTATTTATTTATTTATTTATTTTTGGAGAAGTTTTGCTATAGGGCACATACACTCGCCAGAAACAGAGAGAGACAGAAAGTGAGAATCACCCCCCAGAAGGATGGCCATGCCACAAGCCCTTCTCCATTCGCCTCACAGGATCTTGGGCACGCACGCACATGTGCCCAGGACTTGAACCGCGGTCGACTACATGGGAGTCCAGCGACATAGCCATTACGCCAACTGTTGGTCCCCAGAATTCATTTTCATAATGATACTATGAGCTTCCCTTAACATTTTTGCTTAATATATCCATAAAACCAGTCTTGGTAGTGTAATATCTTTTTTTTTTTTTTTTTTTTTTTTAAAGAAAAAGCTGCTATTTTTAAGAAACAATTGCTTTCTATTCCTCACATCACTAGTGGAGCACATGATTCTTAAAGTGTAGTTGTGGTCATCTGCGAAGATTTAACATTTTTCTCTGAGTAACCTTTATATAATAACATGATCTTTTTTTTCCCCCCCTATGAAGGGCCAGGTGATTGTGCAGGTATCCAGGTTGACTGAGACTGGGGTGGACTGCAGCATAAAGACCCTATTAGGAGTGTCTGTCTGTCTGTTTCTCTCTGTCTCTCATGGAAGAATAAACTGAAACTGAAAATAAAAAAAAGAAATCTCTGAACATTTAACTGCCTATCCAAACAATGCCATCTTTTTAATCAGTTGAGGTGTTATTTTCTAAAGTTTCAGATTCAACTGTATGTGTGTTCCTTTTTCTTTTAAATAGTATGGGAAAAAGAAGTCAGTCAGAGGAATGCTTTCATAAATAACAGCTGTTCTAGAATAAAGGAACATAATCAAAATGAATGTTAAATCTATTCCCTCATGGCACATGCATTCATTCATGTCACTGAGCAAGATATTTTAATTCCAACAATACAAGGGAACTTCAAAAGTTTGTGGGAAAATGAAAAAAAAAAAGTTTATAGGAAAATGGAATTAAATTCTGAGTGTATTTTGGGGCAATTTTTTTGGGAAATTCATACCTTTTTCATGATATGCATTTTCTATGAACTTTGTGAAGACCCCTTGTATACCAGACACTTTGAGATACAGTGGTGATAACAGACATATTTCTACCCTCTTAGAGCCTACTGGGAGAGAGAAAACGTAATCAAATAGTTACACGAAAAGAATTTGTGTTCACACTTGTGGTAAGTGCTGTGGAATATGAGTCTATTGTAGTAAGAGCTAGGGAGTGCTGAGAAAACGTTACAGGTAGATTTGACTTGGTTAGAGAGGTTACTCTGAAGACATTTGGGTTGAGTTCTGAGGTACAGCTAGGCATTTTGTAGGTGAAGTGGGGAGGGAAGGGCATTCCATGCAGATAGAATATTTATGACAGCTTTTACCTCCTCTTCAATCCTGTTTTTTTTTTAATTTATTTTATTTTTTATTTTTTTATCTCAGGCCCTCAGAATTGGTCATTTTACTCTGCTTTTATATCTTAGATCATACATTATAGGTACATCAAGTAGTTTAGGAAGTATAGCTCATGTTTCCCAAATGTGTGTCATGAGGTGCTCTTAGAGCCTTACAACAAACTCAGAGATACTATCATGGGGTACTTTAATCTTTCACGGTCAACACAGTGACATCAGTTAGATACCAGGCAGCCACTAGCTTGAGGTAGTTCAGAACTTCAACATTAAATTGTATCTCACTCCTTTTCTTTATTTTTTGGAGAGGTTTTTGCTATAGGGCGCGTGCGCTCGCCAGACAGACAGAGAGAGACATAGAGACAGAAAGCGAGAAATCACACCCCAGGGGGGATGGTCACACCGCAGTCCCTTCTCCTCCATTCTCCTCTTGGGATCTTGGGCACGCACGCACACGCGCCCGGCGTGAGTTTTAAGCCACCGGGTCAGGGACGCAAACCACAGTCGACTACTTAGGAATCCAGCGACATAGCCATTATGCTAACTGCTGGTTCCCTACCACTCCTTTTCTTGACATTGTTTCTTTGTGAGGCTGAGTTTTGGTAACCTGCTGCTATAAAACATGAAGACTGTGTGAAAATTATGTAGAACAAGAAAGGAGGGTAATTTCCAATCCAAATCCAAGATCTGAGACATTGGAAGGTGCTCAGCAGATATGCACATCCATTAAGAATAAATTTTTTTAATGTAAATGTGTCTGTATGATTAGTTTTTAAATAACTACTAACTTGTTAAAACAGACAGTATATAATAAGTTTGGACCTACCTACTTAATAAGTAGAACATTAGCTATAATATATTCATTAGCCTTTAATACCATGAAAAAAATTAGTGAGACACTAAGAATGCCATGAACAGAGAATGTTCAGGAACCTCTGGCATCTGAGACATATCTAAACTCTTTTACCAGGTGAGAAACCTCAGGCCCAGAGAGAGCAAGTGGCCTGCTCATCAGAGCCTAGAGTTTAGGTCTTACCATTTTTATTTCAGTTTCACATGTATAATTTGTCTTACTTCAAACTTTTCATTCATTTCATAAAAATAATCAGTTTACACATTGCATGCTTTGACATTTAACACTGAAGAATGGTCATGAATGTCCACGGTTTGTTTCTTAATGCTTAATGCCTTGTTTATGTGCTTGTGTGTTCTACGGTGATGTTCTAGTCAGAAGCCACAAACAAGTAATTAGTAGGTATTTAAGAATTTTGAAGATAACATTTTAGGCTAATGTTAATTTAATGCTGACAAGGAAATGATCATAATATATAAAAATAATTTGTTCTCAGTTAAAATTATTTTGTTTTTGCTTTGTTATAAGAAACATGCAGATTTTAACATGTAAAAGAAAATTCTTTATTAAAATCTTAACATATATTTACATTTTTGCTTTCTGGATAGTCTCATCAATATAAAATTTTATTCTGTGGAAGTTTGTAAAACTTTATGTTTTAGATGATAAGATTGATATCTGACTTACATGTTTAAGGACATTTGTGGGAGGGACAGGGAGGCAAAGCATTAGTGGCACAAAGAGGTGTGGTATTATCTGTTGAAGATATTTCATAGTTATCAACAGTACTAGGGAGAAATGTTCACCTGTGGAAATATCCATTTTGTAAGACAAATAATAATGTGATTGAATGTATGGAAGAAAATGAAACGAAAAATAAATAAATAAATAAATAATGTATGTATAAATAGTTTTAAATGAGGTAACTATATGAGACCTACATAACAATTTTTATTTTCTGCACTTTAAATCACAATATAGAAGAAGTAAATGATCAAATAAATTTATTTTAAAAATAGAAAATTGTAGTAACTTGATAAGACAAGCTTAAGGTAATATAAATTATTATGAAACTCTGATCTAAAATCTATAATTTAGATTTGCTTGGCTTTAAAAGACTGGCACATTCTTATGCATACTAAAATGCAAAAACATTTTATTTTTTTGAAAATGTTCAACTCGAATTTAAACAATCTGTGGACAGTTTCTCAACCTTGGTTGCATATTATAATCACCTGGGGGCTTTAGAAAGTACTGATGCCTGGGAGCTGTCAGGTGGCATGGTGGTTAAGGGTGCTGGACTCCCACATGGCTGACTGTGGTTTGAGTCCCAGACCTGGCAGCTTTCTTTCTTTCTTTCCCTCTCTCTCTGTCACTCTGTCCCTCTGTGCTCAAATTTAAATAAATAAATAAAGTTAAATAAAATAATTTTTTTTAAAAGTACTGATGCCTAGGCTTCATTCCAAAGTTAGTTTGTTGAATTTTTAGGAATGATAGCAGTATTCTGATTATGTAGGAGAAAATTCTTATTTTCAGAAAATTAACGGTATAATATTTAGGCTGGGATATATACATACACACAATGTGGAAGATTTGTGGGTATTTGTTATATTCTTTTAACTTTTCCATATGTTTAAAATTTTCACAAAAAGAAAAACAAGAGCAGAAACAAATCGCTATTTACTCTCAAGTTTAAAAATTCAGAGACAAGGTAATCATTTGATGCACAGTGATTACTTCAGTGGGAGGTCAGTACTGATACAGTAAACACCCAGATTTTACACAAGATAAAGCGTTATAGAACTTGTTCTAATTTTCCATATTACAGGAAATAGAAGATAAAGACTCAGATGAGGTTTCTGCACTTGAAGTTTCTGCACTTCTCCAGTTGAAGAACAACATTATCATCTCAAATCTCCACTTCACAGCATGTATGGGCTGTAGAATATATATGTAGTTAGTTGTGCTTTTCAAGAATGTAGCTGTATTGAGTTAGCTTGTGGCATGGTGGTTGAGGCAGCTAGATTCCACAAAGCCAAGTTGCAGACTTGAAAAACATGCTGGGCACATACATATCCAAAATCCTAAGAGGAGACAGAAATGGAGAAAGGATTGCAGGGTGACCATGCCCATGGGCGATGTGTTCTCACTCACTGTTTCTATCTTTCTAGCAAGTACACAAGCCTTATGTAAAACAAGTAAAAATGAAAACAACAACAAAACAACACAATTTAGTGGTTTATGAGCACCACTACTTATTCCTTTTTCAATATTCTCCAGTCAGCTATAAACACTGGAACACTGTTTTAGCTGACTTATGATTTTTAACTTGTTCTTTTTTTTTTTTTTTTAAAGTTATACCATAGGATGTGTGCTCTCACAGGAGAGACGGAGACAATGAGAGGGGAAGTGAGAAATCACCCTCTAGGAGGAATGGCCATACTGCAATTCCTTCTTTTCCATTCTCCTGGGATTTGGGGCACATGCACACATACATGCACTGTGTGGTTTTCAAGCTGCCTGGTGCAGGACTCAAACTGTGACTGTGAGGGTCCAGTGCAGTAACCTGCACCACTGCTAACCCCATTTTTAATCTGTTCTTATACATTAGAGATTTGTCCTTTACCTGCATATTTGAATATAATCACCGACTTTTAAAAGACTTTATAATGAATAGGTAGTCAGGATTTATATCTGTAAGGCTTAACTTTTAACGAAACAGCTTTTCCCCCCCTTACCTTTGGGAAAAAATGCTAACTTGTATTGCAAGTTTAATCTTTTCTTATTAATGATATACAAAACAGATGCTATACATAACATTCTGAGGACCCTCCTTAATCAAACTTTATACCACGCATTAGAAAAATCTGCCATTACCTGATTGGTAAGTTGATAATGGTAAAGGAGATCTGGTTACATAATTAATCAAGGGGATGTTGCCCAGGGTGGAGTGTCCTGTAAAACAGCAAGTTCTCCACCCTTCCCTTTTAAAGCAAGCTGTAAGAATTTCCCTTATAAAACTTTAAACTTTTGTTGAGTGGCTTTCCTGTCTGAATATTGGTGGAGTTCCCATTTGCCTTTACAATGTAAGGAATCCTAATGGAACCGGATTAGAAGGATTCAATTCACTCCCAGTTCTTGACAAATCTCTTACATTCTTTCAGTCCCCTGCTTTAGGTTAAATCCATTCTGATTATCTGAGTTTATAAATAAAGAATCATGTAAAGCAAATGTGATTCAGAGATAAAGCATGTAAACCAAATAATCATTTTGGAGTACACTGGTATTTTAAAAAATACCATGTAGGTTATTTTATTATGTGAACAATCCCTGTCGAAACTGTTCAGAATGCAGAGTTTTCTGATATGTAATTTATTTGTATTATATTTGCATTATTTTTTCCATTTTATTTACTTATTTAAATGTATTTTGTGAGTGGTTATATTTATACCAAAGTTTTGAATGACTGTTTGGCAAGTCATCAACACCCTAAGAAAAGTCAACGTGCACCTTGTTAGTAAGAACACCATCTAGTATGAATCCTGCTACAGTACAATGGCAGTCTTTGGAAAATTGTAGGAAAGACATAAAACGCAAGCTGCAACTTTTTCTAGATACTTTAATGTCTCAGACAAATGTTAATTTTAGTAAGAGCTGTGTTAACAG